TTGACTAGGGTTTTTTTTTTTTTTTTTTTTTTTTTTTTTTTTTTTTTTTTTGTTAAAATCGTTTTTTTTTTAAATACACCCATGCTTCATCTATTGTGACAATTGTATTCCATTTTTCTTTGGATAAATGAAATGTTTCTCATATAGAATTCTGCAGCGTGTCCTACGTTGAGCGATATGCTTTGGAAGAAGATGATGCACATTGCGTTTTTTCGCTTTCTTAAGATTTAAATCAATGTTTATCATTTTGTTTTGTTTACAGTGGACACCGAACATTTTAATGATTTTGCAACTGTCCTTTGACTAGGTTTTTTTTTTTTTTTTTTTTTTTTTTTTTTTTTTTTTTTTTTTTTTTTTTTTTTTTACATTAAACAACGTACATTTGCAATAGTCGAAGATGTCCGTTTTTTCCTTGGATACTTGTTTGGAATTTTTGTCTCACTTGAGGCTGCAATTTGACGTTCTTTTCCTTCCTTGTTGATGATATTACCTATCGACGCTTTAGGTATCACAAAACCATGATTCTCACATCGTTTTTGGATAACGGAGTATGCATATTTCTCTTCGGAAAGAGCGTAAATGTAGCCTTCGAACCACTGCTTTGTTAAATTCGCCATTTTGAATAAAAACAAAACTTTCAAGCCACAGACGATAATTTTGACTTTTAAAAACATAGTACAATTGCAATTATTTCTTTTGTAGCAAACGATTTTTTATTACCGCTTACTAAAATCGTCTAAAAAATGTGCGAACAGCCTCTACACTTTAGCACGCTATTATGGTATTTTATCAAGCCTTCCTGTTAAATTTAGTTATATCCCTCCCCGCATATTCCCATTAAAAACATTGGCATCTTTTATTTCTATCGCATACTTTATCTAGTTTATACTGTGCCATTAAGTAACGTGTAAAGTTATTATTTAAATTAACAAATTATTACGATTTCGGTTTTTAACTATAAACTTTTCCCTTCTGTTTTCTTCACCAGAATGCAAATGAATTAACCAATAAAACTGAGGTTTCGGGATTTAAGCGACACCAAGTTTCTGGTTTCGCGTTTCCTCCCAGCTCTGACAGCTGTAATTGTTCGGCATTTGCTTTCTATCGCTGCTGATACTTTCATTTGAAGCTTCGGTACGAGTTACTGAGCCAGCTTTGTGTAGTCTTTGACTAATGATCCACATTTGATTTAACTAAACTGGACTGTTCTATCTAGTTGCATTACCAGAAACTGTAGATGGTACTGTTGCGCAACAGTGCATTTATATTCTACATTCTGTTTAAATAAATACGTTACTTAAACTTTCTTACGACTTTGAAGTTACTTCAGACACAGCGATAATTCGATTTACGTCTGTTACGGTTTTTGGAGTAATTAATATTAATAGATCACGTAAAACTTTACAAACTATCGAGTAATTTTATTCTATATTTATTTAAAAATTTATTTAAAAATTTATTTTAAGTTTCGCCATGGTTTCAATATCAAAATATTTAAAGGAAACGGAAAAAGTTATAAAACGATTATTTACAAAAGATATATATATATGAAGTAAAAAATTTAGACCTAATGTTTCACACAAACGAAAATTTTAAAATTCATAATTAATAAATTTCAAATAATCTAATAAATGCAACAAAGAATTTAATAAATGCAAAAAAACGAAAAACGAAACTTAAACAATCAATACCCTAATCCAAAAAAATTCCTTAAAGAAATTAAAAGGGGGGGGGGGGGGGGGGGGGGGGGGGGGGGGGGGGGGGGGGAGGGGGGGGGGAAAGGGGGGGGGGGGGGGGGGGGGAACGTCTAAATCAACTTCAATGACTTCATCAGGGGGAAAGGAAAAATGAAAACAATTGAAATCTCTCTTCTACAAAAATCCTTGCTTTTCTGTATGCAGAATTAGCCTATGAACCATTTCAATGTATTTCAATTATAGTCAAAAGTCTTTAATCCGGACTCGTCGGGCCTTCGGCGATTCCGGATTATCGATTTTTCCGGATTATAAATCATCAGTTTAAATCTGGTAAGATGGCATGCAGAAATTATAAAATTAAAAATATGAAACCGTAATTTATGAAATAAGGAACAATTATGATCTAAAGGGTATCACAATTTACAAAAAAAAAGTTTAATATTTATTTGTTTACTTTATTAAACATTTCTTTCAATGCGCGCATGCGTAAAGCATACATCACGCATAGTCCAAATTAAAATTGCAACCAGAAAACTATTTTGATGTGTATTCGTGATATTATAATGAATTTGATTTCAATCGTATCAAAGGCCCCAAAGACATCGAGATAAAAATACTACATTTAGTAATGAACTAAGCCGAATAAAATCTCGCCCTGAAGATAAAGATAGTGCTGACAGATCAACTTTCAGTTCATTGCACGCCGCGACGTTCCCCTCCCCCGCAGAGCAGCGTGAAATTGATAAACAGATTTCGGAATGGTTAGAGAAACAAAGGATATGCCTTTATGCATTTTTTACAGCAATTCCACTTTTTGTTTGATGGACATGGAAACATGCTTTCGCTTTGTAGATCCTTTGGCAGTATCCAGCATCGGAAATTCTATTTGACATAATCAAAAGTTAAAGCTTACTTTTATAAAATTGCTCTAACAGTCTGCAAAAAATTATAAGCCGGATCCAATTCGAAAATTAAGGAACAACGCAATCTGCAACATTAACTGAAATAGATAATTAGATAATTTTAGCTTAGCTTATACCGTCCGTTATACATTAAACGCGCATGCATAAACGTATTATGCGCATGCGTGAACGCATAATGCGTTGACGCATGCCCAAAATGTTTGTACTTTTGAGGTCCGGATTATAGATCATTCCGGATTATGGGCGTCCGGATTAACGACTTTTGACTGTATAATAGTTCACCCGATAATTCTTCCCCAAAGCAAGGAAAGAATTCAATTAGAACTTGTACTTTAAATAAAGAGAATTCTATTTTGTTTAAAGAATTGAAACCGAAAGTGAATAATTAAAATATTACAGTGGAAAAAATAAATCAAAATTTTATTTTTAAACAAAAAACATATAATCCAAAGTATGCATCATGGGAAGGACAGCAAGACTGCACCTGTCGTTGGCAAGAGCACTATACAGTTGACAAGTACGAGTTTGCTCAGTTCTGTTCCTAGTTTTGATAGAGAGACATATAGGTTATAGGGTCTCCAACTCCTCTTCCCCTACCATCAACCTCTCGAAAGGACTTTTGGCTCGACGATTACTTAAAGTGCCCCCATGCCGCACAGACACTATACATTAACAAACATCTACGCCTTTTCCAGGATTCGGAACGGCAGTCAGCGTCGTTAACCGCTGTCCCGGTTGGGCGGCTTGAAAAAAGATTTATGTAATAATAGGGGAACAAAAAATACGTTGGGTTGATCATGCGTCACGAAGAGAATTTCTAATTCTTAGATCTTGCAGCTTCGAAATTTTTAACATTAAACTTTTATTCAAGCAGCATACAGAAGGATTTTCGATAACTACATTTTTTGTACCTATGTAGATTTTGTGCAGTTCACAAACAAACTTTCAAATCCCTACATACGATGGGTTATGTACACAGAAAACATTGAACCTCACAATAACCATACTTATACGATTCCATTTAACTTCATTGAAACCAACAGGAGCGGGGCGGGGGCTTCGAGTCTATGGAAGTAAAATAAATGAAATACAACATTATAATGTACATAGGAAATAATTTTTAATTATCGACTTCTTATATCAGCAACAACAATATTCATATTCAAATTCAAAATAAGGAATATATTTTTTCTGTTCAATAATTATTAATTAGAAAAAAAGGAATTAGGAAATTTTAAAACTTTACAAGAATTTCTTGATTACTAATAAGTAAAATAATCAAAACATTACAGCCATAATACAAAATAAGGGCTCCTGGATGTGGCAACGACGCGGGCTGCGTCTTCTTTCAAGTCTTTCACTGCATAAAGAACTCATGCAAAAGCCACTCTCTTTCGTTTTGTTAAACATCTTGTCGGAAATACCTTGGAATGGGGTAATTTATGACGTCCCTTGTGTCCGGGAACCGCACCAGCGGATTTCCGCAACACCTTTCCTCATAGTTCTAACTGACAATTAGTCTCTGGACAAAACAGAAGTTCCTCTCATTAAGCAAATGTGTGTTAGAGGTGTGCATATTGTCCCCCCCCAGGGCTGCTTTCCATCAGAATTGGGGACGGAGCTGAACAAAGTCGTACTGTTCACGTATGGTGCTAAAGGCTCTTGCCAACGAAAGGGGCAGTCTTGCACACCTTGCTACGATGGGCTTGTTCTGATGTTACTGTCAAACAAATAAGATAAGTTACAACAACAACGCCAACAGATATTAGAAGTGTATTGCTACGTCACGCTTATCAATAATTGGCGCTGAATCGCCCTGCCCGGCGACAATTTCATAGTCGACGGGATTATACTTTCGTAAGCAAAATTCCAATCAATACTGTACTATAAAATTAGGCCTCAAATTTCTTATTTAGTTCCTCACCAAATACAAGCCTAAATGCTTCACCATTATGATTTACAACTAATCAGCAATCAGAAATGTTAAAGCATTAATTATTTTTAATTAAATATGAAATTTATTACAGTTTTTCTTAAAGGCAAAGACATTAACACTGCAAACAAATCTTCATAGAAACACGTTGAATTAATAAAACTGCAAAAAGAATACACAGTAATGATTCGGGTCTCACTAAAATTTTTTATACCCTGCAGATATTTAACACTTCGAAAGCAATATATAACCCTTATCTACAAAATATACATTTCAAAATGCATGCCTCTCATTATACAAATCATAACTTCAAATTAATTATATATTTAAAGATCAATTAAAAATGCTTTCTTAAATCATTTCCAGGAAGAAAACTTCTTTTAAAAATAAAAAACATATCCATAGCATTAATGCACACAGTTAAAACCAAGAAAGCTCAAAGGATACGCTATAAAGTAACGTCGCAGAATGTCTGATTTATCCAAATCCTGTGGAATGAAAAGTTTGACTCCTGTAAATATATTAGGCAGCACCTGGAATAAATAAAACATGAAAATAATTATACAACAAATGAACGTGTACGGATCATAATATAAAATACAAATCTGTTATAGACAGCACATGACTTCCTTGTACGGCCTATTAAATTATACACATTTGTTTCCTGCATTTCATTTAAACTGATTTCCTCGAATTTCATTAGAGATGTAGTTCATATTTAATTAACTCAGTTCTCACTTCGCGGCAAGGCCAAATACATAAAAACTCAAAACGTCATTAAAAATTGTAAAATACAGAAAAACATAAAACAGCAAATACAGTTAAAAACAGTTTAAAAAAATACAACTGATATTAGAGTTTCTATGCAAAATCCAGCAATTTGGCCAGCGGTCTAGGAGACAGATTTTTTGGCGCACAAAACTGAACACGTTTGGACCCCGTCGGCAAAAAAAAAACACTTAAGTTGGTGCAGAAATTGACATGATTTATTATTTTACTAACAACTTCAAATGTAAATAAATAGCGATTTCATTAGAATTAGCAGCACCACTTAAATTTTTAAATTGTTGATAATTCTATAATTATTGCATGAAGATTAATTAAAGGCATAAAAACCTTAACCGGAAGATAAGAACAACATAATTCAATCACATTTAAACCAAAAAATGCACAACTTACCAACATTTAAGAAGAAAAAAACTAAGCTCACCGACCCAGGTAAAAGAGGGCGAAAATAAATTTATATATAAGATTTCTGCAGCGGATTGCAACGAAAAAGGGAGGTGCACAATTACATGTTCCAGCAGTCTCATATACATGTTCAACGTTCTGAGACTATTTGTTTTTGAGTTATGCTATAACATATGTAGGTACGTACGTACAGACGTTAGGAAAAAAATCACTTCTGATTCCATTTTAAAATCCGTTTTTTTGGGGGGAAAGTCCTTTATTCTGTCTGTACGTAAAGATGTCATGCAAAAATATCGTTCAAATGGAGTCAAGTGCGGTCAAAATGATATTTTCGTTGAACTATGATACCCCAAATTTTTCGCGATTACAGTACTTCCTTCACTTCATACAAAGACTTAATAAAGCACACCAATCACATTAGCAGAACAGCTGAGCTGGCGCCAGAGCCAGTGCAACCGTCCCCGCCGTACAGGGTGGAGGTAATTACAGGCGGCAAAATGTTTATATTTTACGCAGGCACTGGGCGTCAGAATTTAGGAATAGCAGAAATTGCATCGGATGGCAAGGTGTCTAGCGCCAACCCTGCAAGATGGCCACTTGCCAGTTGAGATTGTTATTTTATGTGGGAAAAACCCTGAGTAACCATTAATATCACAAAATATAACATATTCCAGCTTTTTAAGTTAACCAACGAGGAAATAATAGATATGAAGTAAATAAGTAAACAACATTATAGGCACCACCGGGTGTTGATATTCACCCATTACAAAATAAATTTTATAAACATGGGTAGAGGTAGTACTTAGATATATAATTATGAATATCAATATTTGAATGATAATTAGTAGTTTATAAAGTTACTTCTGACCAGCTGCATTTTTTATGAATATTCATGTGTTTAAACTACACGTTCTTGATTTTCAATTCCATTATGGAATGCTGCTACAGTAATTTAAAAGCAATACTTGCAAATGAATAAGTCTAAATATGTTTTGATAAAAATAGATCCTTATTATTTTCATCATGAGATTTTTAAGTGAAAACTAAACGGAAAATTTTATTTTACGTTATCAAAACAGCATGATGGACAAAAAAGATTCGTAAGAATAAGAAAGAGTTTATTTATATTTTTAAGAAAAATGACTAATATAACTCGAAGGCTTATTCTTTAAAATAACACGGCCCACCAGCGGCCGAGAGGTAAAGTTGCTGAACACTCGTAGTTCGGTCCGAGGTTCGAATCCCGTGAACGGGTGCCTGCATGGACGTTTTCGTGATTTTCTCCATGTGTAACGCGTATACGAGCCAGAACGTCCTCCACGAAGGCATCTCTGCCCTTAGGCATGCCTAAGTGTGCCCTAAGTGCCCTAAGTGTACCTAAGTTGTACAAAGAGATCTTTGACATGTGAATTAACATTTCATTATTTAAATCACCTTTATTGATTGAGCTAGCGGTGGGTTCTTAAGAAATGTACCGTCAGTGGTTTCCTTCATTGTACTCTACTCTAAGCAATTAAGCAAGTAGAAGGGGGAAATCCCGTAGGGCAGTAAGCAAAGGGGGGGCGTCCTTCGCCTACCTGTCCTGGGTAATTTCACTTTCAATTAGCAGATACCTTTTGCACAAATCATTTTAATTTACAATTTTATAATATCTAGAACAGCGGTCATTTCGTATGACCGCCAGGCTTTCTAGTATACATATATATATATATATATATCCCTTTCAACGTCATCCTGCGAGTTGGAAAGCAATAAGCACGCTCGGGGTTGACCCACCCTTTTCGAATTTCATTGTTAGCCAAAGAAGACGGCACTACTACAGGTCTGTTTTTAATAATATTTTTTCTCTAAAAACTTTTTCGAGGTCTTGGTAAGACCCTTGCTTCAATTCGTCTATTTTACTCGTATTATCATTTTCGTTTTGAATTAAACATAATTTTCGGTACTTTTACAAAGTATTAACACTTTAAGCTCGCAGGTCCACCCATAAAATCTTGTATATTTTGACTAATAGCATATCGCTATTTATTTCATTTCGATTCCATTATTTATTATTTTTATTACACCTTAATGTGTTAATTCAAGCGGATGCGTCGAGAAATTGGAACAGAGAATTGAGACTCAAGATTTTGACAAAGTTTATTTAATTAATTGAAAAATGTGTCGCGTACAGTTTCAATTGTCTGTTTCGGCGAAACGCGTGATGGAGTTAGCTTTCGAAATTCATTAAAAAATATTTCCCCTGACGTGCCATAGTGAACTTCGAATTGGGCTAATCGACCATTTACCGCTTCTTAATTTTTATTTTTAACTCGATTAATTAGTTAATACTTTTACTACGTTTTAAATATACCTTAATTAGTTGGAAATACCTTAATTAATTATACCTTAATTAGTTTTAAATATACCTTAATTAGTTAATTATTAGCATATATAGCTTACTATTATTGTTGATTTTCACTTGTAAAAAATAATCAAAAGTTATATATTTTTCTCTTTTAACACATTTCATTGCAACTAATTTTGCTTATGTTAAAGTTTTCACGGAACCACAGTATTTAAGCAGCTTTTTAGCGTTTGTACTAGAATTTATCTTTTAATTTCTTTAGTTTTGCAGCACAATGCGCAAAATTTTTGACCACTTAGATCTTTTATCGTTTGTTCTTTCTACTTTACTTTAAATTATATATATCAGACATATATCAGACAAAACCATACTAGTGCACAAAGGAAAGCAGGGGGAAAAAATGAAATCACATAGAGATACGAAATCTAAGACATTAGAAAACGCCTCTTTTAATTACACAGTAGTTACATAAATATTCATAATTACCTATTGCACATTGCAAATTAAATGTATTTTAAATCAAAAACACTGTTAAAAAAACACAGATTCATAAAATTAAGGAAAGGATTTATGGCTTTTAAATTGCCCAGTTTATTGAGCGGTTATAATATGAAAACAAAGACCTTAGGTTACATCGAATAGGCAAACAGACAAAATTGGCTATTTGCTGGACTGCTTGCAATAATCCTCCGCGTGAAGGCAAAACTAGCAAAGTCGCGTGGGTGCTATATTTAAAGTAATGTAATGCAACGACTCAGATAACGACACTTTTAACGTCGGAATACATACAAGAAATTAAAAACGTACACACTTCACGGCAATAAACGAATACAGAAATAAAGATCTCATAATAATTACTGCATTACTGAAGCTCACCACACAATGAAAGAAATAAGCAAGGAAAAGTAGCTATTGTGATTGGAATTGAAAATAAATAAAACTGGTCTGTGAAGCGGCGAAATATCAGTTTCTCTGTGGAATTGAAGATCCAGGCATTAAGTACAAAAGAGGCTCAGTTTCCGGGGCAATCAAGTATCTTTTTGGGCTAAAAAGATTTCGTTACCACAGCGAGATAAGCTTCTGAGTTTTTATTTTTTAATCTTTCCATCTACTCTAGTCCTCACTTTTCTCGAGAAGCGAAAGATGGAAAAAATAAATAGAAATCAAAAGAAAGCATCCGACAACCTTGAGGCTTACTTTAGAGCTTTACGGCCTCTTGTTGATATAAAAGCGATGCCAGCAATCGGAGATCCATTTAAAATGGAAAATTCTTAAAACTATAGTTGGAATGAAATTTAGCTCGGTGGGAAATGGAATAATTTTAAAAAGAAGAGTTGAGAATATACTGACAGTGAGGATACATTTCTGGAATTTATCTCAATAAACGGCTGAAGGTTTTAGATTCTAATTTAATGTTTCGAAACAAATTGTAACTTTATTTTTAACGTGAAATGATGGAGTAAAAAATTATCAATAACTAGAAGCAAAGATGTTAAAGAATTACTAAATTAAATATACTTTTAATTAATTACTAGCTGAAGTACCCGGTGCCAATTAAGTTAGATTGACAGTAATGCATTTAACAACAGACAGAACAATACCGCCGTAATCCTTCTCTAATAATGATGCAAAAAATATTATTCATAATCATACATTTTTCAATCTGGTGCGGTATGGAAACCACATAAAAAATTTCGGTAGGAAAAAAAAAATAATAAGCTAATTCTCTCTCCTTATACCAGCAACAATGGCACGCAGTTTTTAAAGATTTTCATCTTTTTAATCAAATGGTCGTAAAAGCTCAAGTTCCATCGAATATTTCACCTATATTAAATTTTAATCAATTAAATGGGCCAAAAAATTTATCATAATTGATAAGAAATCAATAACACGAACAAACAAACACATACATTCTTCTTTACATGCATAGATTTTGTACAACTTGCAAGTTTTTTGATTAACAAAATCTACGATTTGAAAGAGAGCAGTAGCAAC